TTTTTATTGAACCGCTACAAGATCAACAATTCCATGAGCTTGGGCTTCTGTTGCTGACATAAAAACATCCCTTTCCATGTCTTCGGATACAACCCATATAGGTTTGCCCGTTCTTTGTACATAAACCCTTGTGATGGTTTCGCGAAGTTTTAGTAATTCTTCCGCTTCCAAGATAAATTCTCCCGTTTGTGCCTCATAAAACGAGCTAGCGGGTTGATGGATCATTACCCTGATGATATAATAGAAAAGGTTTTTCTATTTCGCAGAATGAGACGGGATAACCAAAACAAAAAAAAACAGATAAAATTGAATAACCGTACAGGCTTTTTTTGTGCATTGCATACGGCTCCACAATGGAATTGACTTTTTTGACCTTTCCTTTTGGCGAAAGAAAACAAAATATAGGTTGTATTATACGCAGATCCAGAAATCATCCAATTACCATCCTTCTTTTTTTTGTAGGAGTTAAAAAAATACTATGATGGTTCCGTTGCTTTATATATCATTTTTTTGATTCGTCTATGATTCAGCAATCCCAAAGTGTCTTTTTTTTTTTTTTTTGTACGGTGTGAAAACAAAGTTTGTGACGCTGAAATGTGCCCGAATAGGTAAGATATCATTTGAAAAACCTCTTCCTTATCTCATACTACTCTTTCAATATATAATCGAATTTTTTTTTTAATCTAAAAAATTTCATATTGAATTCGAAGTGCCATGCTATTATTACTTAACTAATTCATATTTACGATGGCGAAGGCATAGTATTTTTTTCGAGAAAAAAAAAACTCATTGGCGCCAAGCGTGAGGGAATGCTATACGTTTGGTAATTGCTCCTCCGACCAGGATAAAGGATGCTATTGAAGCGGCCAATCCCATGCATATTGTCTGTACATCGGGTCGCACAAATTGCATAGTATCATAAATAGCCATTCCAGATATTACCCATCCACCAGGAGAGTTTATAAACAAATAAAGATCTTTGGTATCCTTTTCTATACTGAGATATATCATAAGACTAATAAGTTGATTCGAGATTTCGGTATCAACCTCTTGGCCTAAAAAAAATAATCTTTCTCGATAAAGTCGGTTGATTAGGATAAATTTTTATTCCTTAGGAGCCGTACAGGCACCTTTTGGTGCATACGGTTCAACAAAAATTGTGAAAAAATCAATGTGTCGATTCCAACCTCCCCTTTTTTCATAGAGGGTTTTTCTTTCTAACTTATAACGGAAGGGCTTGCTCCCAAAAGTAAAAGAAAATTTTAGTTTTGGTGCCTTGTACCTTGTATTAGATATTATAATCCTCTAATAAAACGATTGATTAACCCTGTCAGACTCATTTGATTCATTGATATTTTTTTTTCATCGAGATTCAGTTGAAATGGCGATGGTTTTTTCTTGTTCCTGAACGGGCTTCTTCCTTTTTTTATTCCATTTTTTAGGTTTATGCTCTACCCCGAGTAAAAGGAAAAATTTGCCCGATTTTGATTTGCACATATAGGACAAATGAACCAAATACCGCGTCTTTTTTTACTACTCCTTCTTTTTTTTTTCAATTCATTTCTTTCACATGTCTTCTGTCAAATAGTCAAAAAATTTTGAATTATATTATTTGATTTGAGCAACAGTTTTAGATCGCCCTGTTTCAATTTTTTTTATAGAATTTTTATCATAATTTTACATATCATATAAGTAGTAATTATAAAAATATTATATATTAATTATCAATTGGGTTTTTGCTAAACGGAGCCTGGATACTTCATTTTATTAGTCCGATCACGTAAACCATAAAAAAATTTTGATAATCTAATATCAATTTAAATACTCCCTGCATTTAATTCCACTTTATTTTTTGCGCTTCGCGTTACAAATTTTTGAAAATTCAATCAATCTTTTTGAGCGAAACAGAGGATATCTCGATCGAGGGAGAAAATGGGGAAATCCCATATAGCCCGATATATCTGACAAGTCGCACTATATGTCAACCCAAGATGTATCTCCTTCTCCAGGACTTCGAAAAGGTACTTTTGGAACGCCAATAGGCATGAAATGAAAAAAAAGAGAATGAAGTTCTCTATTTCACTTTGATGTGGAAACGTAAAATTGGGGTTTCGGTTTTTAATACTATTATCCTTTTTTCCTACTTTATTAATCATATTTAAATTAATGATATTTAATACATAAGTTGAATAAGCTAAAATAAAATATAAAATAAAAGTAAAGTAAGAGAGAATGAATAAAACTAAAGGAAATTTTTTACGAACGGGCTTCTGAATGATCAACAATAATAGCTATCTTGGTTCATATAAAATAGGATTCACCCCCATTGCATATTGGTACTTATCGGATATAGAATAGATCCGCTTCCCTTTTTTCTATGAATTGAATTGTTCCATTATTACTAACAGAATAGAACAAATATTAATCCTTTCTCCGAAATAATTACCTAAAAAGGGGGGTACGTAGCATAGTTTTTTCCAATGCAATAAAGTTACATAGTGTCTATTTTTCGTTGATAAAGGGGTATTTCCATGGGTTTGCCTTGGTATCGTGTTCATACTGTTGTATTGAATGATCCCGGTCGTTTACTTTCTGTTCATATAATGCATACTGCTCTGGTTGCTGGTTGGGCTGGTTCGATGGCTCTATATGAATTAGCAGTTTTTGATCCCTCCGACCCCGTTCTTGATCCAATGTGGAGACAAGGTATGTTCGTTATACCTTTCATGACTCGTTTAGGAATAACCAATTCGTGGGGCGGTTGGAATATTACAGGAGGGACTATAACGAATCCGGGTCTTTGGAGTTACGAAGGGGTAGCCGGAGCACATATCGTGTTTTCTGGTTTGTGCTTCTTGGCAGCTATTTGGCATTGGGTATATTGGGATCTAGAAATTTTTTGTGATGAACGTACAGGAAAACCTTCTTTGGATTTGCCCAAGATTTTTGGAATTCATTTATTTCTTTCAGGAGTGGCTTGCTTCGGTTTTGGCGCATTTCATGTAACAGGATTATATGGTCCTGGAATATGGGTATCCGACCCTTATGGACTAACCGGAAAGGTCCAACCCGTAAACCCGGCGTGGGGCGTGGAGGGTTTTGACCCTTTTGTTCCGGGAGGAATAGCCTCTCATCATATTGCAGCAGGGACGTTGGGTATATTAGCGGGCCTATTCCATCTTAGTGTTCGTCCGCCTCAACGTCTATACAAAGGATTACGTATGGGCAATATTGAAACCGTTCTTTCCAGTAGTATTGCTGCTGTCTTTTTTGCAGCTTTTGTTGTTGCTGGAACTATGTGGTATGGTTCTGCAACTACTCCTATCGAATTATTTGGTCCTACTCGTTATCAATGGGATCAGGGATACTTTCAACAAGAAATATATCGAAGAGTTAGTGCTGGACTGGCTGAAAATCAAAGTTTATCAGAAGCTTGGGCTAAAATTCCTGAAAAATTAGCTTTTTATGATTATATTGGTAATAATCCAGCAAAAGGGGGGTTATTCCGAGCAGGTTCAATGGACAATGGGGATGGAATAGCTGTTGGATGGTTGGGCCACCCCGTCTTTAGGAATAAAGAAGGGCGTGAACTTTTTGTACGCCGTATGCCTACTTTTTTTGAAACTTTTCCGGTTGTTTTGGTAGACGGAGACGGAATTGTTAGAGCCGACGTCCCGTTTAGAAGGGCAGAATCAAAATATAGTGTCGAACAAGTAGGTGTAACTGTTGAGTTTTATGGTGGTGAACTCAATGGAGTGAGTTATAGTGATCCCGCAACTGTGAAAAAATATGCTAGACGGGCTCAATTGGGTGAGATTTTTGAATTAGATCGTGCGACTTTGAAATCCGATGGTGTTTTTCGTAGCAGCCCAAGAGGTTGGTTTACGTTTGGACATGCTTCGTTTGCTCTACTTTTCTTCTTTGGACACATTTGGCATGGTGCTAGAACCCTCTTCAGAGATGTTTTTGCTGGTATTGATCCAGATTTGGATGCTCAAGTGGAATTTGGGGCATTCCAAAAACTTGGAGATCCAACTACAAAACGACAAGCAGTCTGATGCAACATTGCTTTTTTTCTTCTAGTTTCTGTTTATTATTTTATTTAATAGGTAGGGTACTGTAGGAATCTTGATTTAAATCGCTGCCGTTTCTTTGACTCTTTTTCTGTCTTTATCCAGAGGGATACTCCCAAGTAAACAAAACAGGTATGAAAGCTATAATTGTAAACCACGATCAAATTTATGGAAGCATTGGTTTATACATTTCTCTTAGTATCCACTTTAGGGATAATTTTTTTCGCTATTTTTTTTCGGGAACCACCTAAAATTTCAACTAAAAAATGAAAAAATTTTTCATTATTTTCATTGACGTAATCAGCCTCCAAATATTTGGAGGCTGATTACGTCAACTAGTCCCCGTGTTCCTCGAATGGATCTCTTAGTTGTTGAGAGGGTTGCCCAAAGGCAGTATATAGAGCATACCCAGTAAAACTTACAAGTAACCCAGATATAAAGATGGCGACTAGGGTTGCTGTTTCCATTATTATAGAATTGAAAGACCACACCGGATCTATGCTAAGATCATTTATTTACAACGGAATGGTATACAAAGTCAACAGATCGTAATGAATACAAAATAAGATTTATGGCTACACAAACTGTTGAGGATAGTTCTAGATCTGGTCCAAGAAGCACTACTGTAGGGAAGTTATTGAAACCATTGAATTCCGAATATGGTAAAGTAGCTCCTGGATGGGGAACGACCCCTTTGATGGGTGTTGCAATGGCTCTATTTGCGGTATTCCTATCTATTATTTTGGAGATTTATAATTCTTCTGTTCTACTGGATGGAATTTCAGTGAATTAGACTGAGAAGAATCTTGAAGTTCTAGCTTTTAGCTCGGTACAAAAACGTAAAGTATGTAGGTCTAACAACTTTAGCCTATTCTCCTTTGGTAGTTCGGCCGCGAAAATTTTTTCTGCATTGTATATTTCCGGAATATGAGTGTGTGACTTGTTAGAATTGACCCTATGGATAGTACAGAGAATGGGGTCTGTCATCTTTATCAAGATGGTTTTACTTCGTCGGATATTCATTCGAATATCTGGAGCACGAAATAGATCAAATAGATCACAAAGTATTCGAACTATGATTCATACTTAATACTCAGACCTCGTAGCCGGACTTCTTTCCGTTCTATCTTATAAACTTTAATAAATCAAAAAATTTTTCTGCTTTTAAACTCTTATTTGGATCAAAGGACAAACGCTTCTTTGTATTTTATGTTTTTAGTCATTATAGCTATTTTTTTGATTGAATAAGTGATGATCCAATGGTTCTCACTCAGTGAACTTTGGACTTTGAAGGTTTCATTGAATTATCGTGGTTCTCGTATGAATCTGAGGTTTCAATTGATTAGTTAAGTAGGGTCTTAACAAGAGAATTCCTATCAATAATAAAGAAAACAAGAAGAAATCCCTATCCCCGTTCCATACAAATACCAAATAAAAAAGACAATAAAGATAGGTAATCTAGAAGATTCAAGAGGCCTGTAACGATCAACACAACATAAAGACGAATGAGCTTACTTGATTTTTTGGCATTTAACCACAAAGACGAGCTTTCGCATTTTGACTCTTTCATATCTTTAAATAATATTGAATAAGAGACAAGTTTAAAACTTTATATTCCATATCTGTTTCAATCAGTATTTAGGTCTTTTTTTGTTTGAGCTGTACGAGATGAAATTCTCATATACAGTTCTTGGAGGGGGAGTAACCTTGGTTTACCTATCTCAATAAAGTTTATGATTGGTTCGAAGAACGCCTTGAGATTCAGGCGATTGCAGATGATATAACTAGTAAATATGTTCCTCCGCATGTCAACATATTTTATTGTCTAGGCGGAATTACCCTTACTTGTTTTTTAGTACAAGTAGCTACGGGATTTGCTATGACTTTTTATTACCGTCCAACCGTTACTGAAGCTTTTGCTTCTGTTCAATATATAATGACTGAAGCTAACTTTGGTTGGTTAATCCGATCAGTTCATCGATGGTCGGCAAGTATGATGGTCCTAATGATGATCCTGCACGTATTTCGTGTATACCTCACCGGTGGTTTTAAAAAACCTCGCGAATTAACTTGGGTTACTGGTGTGGTTCTGGGTGTATTGACCGCATCTTTTGGTGTAACAGGTTATTCTTTACCTTGGGATCAAATTGGTTATTGGGCAGTCAAAATTGTAACAGGTGTACCTGACGCTATTCCGGTAATAGGATCACCTCTTGTAGAATTATTACGCGGAAGTGCTAGTGTTGGACAATCCACTTTGACTCGTTTTTATAGTTTACACACTTTTGTATTACCTCTTCTTACGGCCGTCTTTATGTTAATGCATTTCCTAATGATACGTAAGCAAGGTATTTCTGGTCCCTTATAAATAATATAGATTCTAGATATTTGTACTTACTTATTACTTGGTGAAGGAACGATAGTATTTTATTGCTATAAATATGGATTATTAAAAAAATAAGACATGTATTTGGATATTTCCCTTCAACTCCACAATATTTTATTATTTTTTTGACATAAAAAGTTGAAGGGAATTCTATGAAGAGATAATGGATTATGGGAGTGTGTGACTTGAACTATTGATCGGGCCGTGCAGAAATATGACTTTATCTGCTACATTGGAATTCACAACCAAATGTGTCTTTGTTCCAACCACTGTGTAAGCCCCATACAGGGGATAGGCTGGTTCACTTTAAGAGAATCTTTTCTATGATCATACCCGACGCTGCCGTGGATGAGTGGGCTCCGTAAAATCCAGTAGATTAAGGGATGGAACATAATCCTGATTATGTTTTTAGTTATTTTGGACTAAAAAAAAGAAAATAATTAAAAGAAAATAATTAATAGTATGTAAATGCATTCATTTTCTCTGCATCGACTCGATTTATGATACTATCGGAGTGAATACAGGATCTAATGAAGAGTAGAGGGTAGACTCCATTAGTAACAAGTAAATCCTTTGTATTTGAAAAATCTCGATATAATTTTTGAGATTAAGGACAAATTTATAAGGTATGAGACGACCCAGAAAGCACTTAATTTTTTTAAGCTTACGTGGGTGTTGAGCATTTACCTGTAAGAATGGAATTTCTGGAATCTTTAGTTGCAATAACTTTGGAATCGGATAATTCTTTTTTTACATATTAAATTATATTTTTTGTATGTATTCATTTAGTTTGGTTAATTCTTGCTCGAGCCGGATGATAAAAAATTATCATGTCCGGTTCCCTCGGGGGATGGATCCATAAGAATTCACCTATCCCAATAACAAAAAAACCAGATTTGAATGATCCTGTATTACGAGCTAAATTAGCTAAAGGTATGGGTCACAATTATTACGGGGAACCCGCATGGCCCAACGACCTTTTATATATTTTTCCAGTAGTCATTCTTGGTACCATTGCCTGTAACGTAGGCTTAGCGGTTTTAGAACCATCAATGATTGGTGAACCTGCGGATCCTTTTGCAACTCCTTTGGAAATATTACCTGAATGGTATTTCTTTCCTGTATTTCAAATACTTCGTACAGTGCCTAACAAATTATTGGGTGTTCTTTTAATGGTTTCAGTACCAGCGGGATTATTAACCGTACCCTTTTTGGAAAATGTTAATAAGTTTCAAAATCCATTTCGTCGTCCAGTAGCGACAACCGTTTTTTTGATTGGCACCGCGGCGGCCCTGTGGTTAGGTATTGGAGCAACATTACCGATTGATAAATCTCTAACTTTAGGTCTTTTTTAATTAAATTTATTCAATTGTAAAATAAACGACGTGGGTATCTAGGGAGTAGTCATTTCCAAATGAATTCTCCCTAGATACATATCTAATTAATTTAATTAATTAATTAAAATGGGTTCGACTGGAAAATCGAAATTACGTTGAAGGTTTAAAATCCATTTCAATTTGAAATTGAAATGCTTTTTCTATTTTTTTTCTAGAATGTCTAATATCTTTTTTACATCTTCTACGTGAAAATGTTCAATTTTGATAAGGTCTTCTTGACTGTTATTCAAAAGGTCCAATAATGTATGTATATTGGACTTTTTGAGACAATTGTAGATTCTGGGAGGCAATTCTAATTGGTCAATAAAAATATATTGAAAGGCTAGTTCTTTTGTTTTTTTTCTTAGGTTAACTAATCTATTATGAAAAGGAAAAAAGGGTAAAGTAACTTGATGCTGATTGTTCTCTAAATAGAACGTTTCTTCTTCTACATGTAGAAAAGGAATAAATAAATTAATCAAATTCCGGGAGGCTTCATGAAGTGCTTCTTTAGGAGTTAAACTTCCATTTGTCCATATTTCTAGAAAAAGAATCTCTTGTTTTTCATTCCCATTCCCATAAGAATGAATACTATGATTCGCGTTTTCAACAGGCATGAATACAGCATCGATAGGATAACTTCTGTCTTCAAAGTTATTTGACATTTTTAGACTATATCCGCGATTCCTCTCGATTTTTAATTCAATACACAAATCTATTGTTTCCGTTAAGGTAGCTATATGCTGTGTATTATCAATGATTTCTACAGAGGGCGGTAAAATTATGTCTCGAGCAGTTATATATCCAGGACCTTGGACACAAATAAGCGCGTTGCGCGTTCCATATAGATTACTTCTTAATACAATCTCGTTCAAATTCATTAAAATTTCATGTACTGATTCTTGAATACCTACTATGTTAGAATAGTCATGTGGTATGTTCTCAGATTTTGCACGTGTAATACATGTTCCTTCTATTTCGCCAAGTAAAGCTCTTCGCATCGCAATGCCTATTGTGTCGGCTTGACCTTTCATAAGTGGAGACAGAATAAAGCGTCCATAATAAAGACGCTTACTGTCTCTTTTTGATTCAACACACTTCCACTGTAGTGTCCGAGTAGATACTTTGACTTTCTCTCGAACCATAGTAATTTTATTTGATCAGATCATTGAATCGTTTATTTCTCTTGAAACCCTTTCAGCCTTTATTTAGTTCTATACACGTCTTTTTTTAGGGGGTCTACAACCATTATGTGGCATAGGGGTTACATCTCGTACGAAACTTAAAAGTATACCGCTTCTACGAATAGCTCGTAATGCTGCATCTCTTCCGAGTCCAGGGCCTTTTATCCTTACTTCAGCTCGTTGCATACCTTGATCCACTACTGCTCGAATAGCATTTCCTGCTGCGGTTTGGGCAGCAAAAGGCGTTCCTCTTCTTGTACCCCGGAATCCACAAGTACCCGCGGAGGACCAAGAAATCACCCGACCCCGTACATCTGTAACGGTCACAATGGTATTGTTGAAACTTGCTTGAACATGAATAACTCCCTTTGGTATTCTACGTACATTTTTACGTGAACCACTACGTGTATTTTTACGCGAACCAATTCTTAATATAGGTTTTGCCATATTTTTTCATTTCACAAGAAATATATGGATATATCCATTTCATGTCAAAACAGACCCTTTTTTCCAACTCTTTGGAAGTGCCTTTTCCTTTACTTTAGTTCCTTTAGTAAGATTATCCTTGTCTTTGTTTATGCCTCGGGTTGGAACAAATTACTATAATTCGTCCCCTCCTGCGGATTAGTCGACACTTTTCACAAATTTTACGAACGGAAGCCCTTATTTTCATAGTTGTTATTCCTTAATTCTGTGAATATATTTATTGGTGGACGAAAAAAAGGTTTCTTGATATTTTTGAATCTTGAATTGTATCTTCGTGAAAGGAATGGTTGAAATTGAAAAAACCACTTACTTATTTGAATCCTTGTTATGGAGTCTAGAAAATGGCTGTCCCCTGATTAACTTATACCTAAGAACTTACTAAAAATTTTACCTTTTTCTCCTATAGGTATACCTATACAAAAATATGTCGAATCCTTTCAGAAGCATGAACTAAAAAAAAATTTTTAGTATCTAAACAAAATCGAACCATGCCGTTCGGAAGTGATTCAGAAAGAAAACTTTCATTAATTCATTTTTTCTTTAATTTCATTCGAAGTAAAACATCCGAAACTTTTTTGAACAGGGGTGGTATTACACAACCCCCTTTTTTTCACAAATCGTAAGTTCCAGATATGTAATTTTTATATTAGAAGGATTACCATATATAACACAAAATTTCTCCGCCGATTCTTTTTAGTCGAGCTTCTCGGTCTGTCATTATACCTTGAGAAGTCGAAAGGATTACAATTCCTATTCCGCCTAAAATTCGTGGAATTCGTTGAGAGTTAGAATAGATTCGTAGACCCGGCCGACTTATTCTCTTTAAATTTAAAATCGTTTTATAGGATTCTTTCTTATTTCGTCTGTGTCTTAGGGTTAAAATCAAAAAATATTGGTTGCTTTCGCGATGTTTCCTTACGTTTTCGATAAAACCCTCTCGTAAAAGGATTTTAACAATACTTTCGGTGATGTTAGTCGATCCTATCCGAACCGTTCCTTTTCTATTCATGTCAGCATTTCGTATAGAGGTTATTATATCAGCAATAGTGTCTTTCCCCATGATAAGTTAAAATTCCTTATTGTTCTATAATTTTGATATAATCAACATGTTCTTTTTCTTTTATTTATATATAGATATAGACGAATTATATATTAATATATGAATTAAATTCTTAATATTTTATTATTAAGGGTATATGCGTGATACACAATCTATTAATTAATTTTATTTCAATACCAGTTTTTTTAATCCTATACTAAACTATCGATATTTAGATCTTATAATACCTCAGGAGCTAATGAAACTATTTTAGTAAAGTTTAATTGTCTCAATTCCCGTGGGATCGCCCCAAAAACTCGAGTTCCTTTTGGATTTCCTTCTTGATCAATGACAACTGCGGCATTGTCATCATATCGTATTATCGTCCCATTATTACGTTTGAGTTCTTTACAAGTACGTACAATTACAGCTCTAATCACTTCTGATCTTTCTAGAGGAGTATTTGGTATTGCTTCTTTGATTACAGCAACAATAACGTCACCAATATGAGCATATCGGCGATTACTAGCTCCTATTATTCGAATACACATCAATTCTCGAGCCCCGCTGTTGTCTGCTACATTCAAATAGGTTTGTGGTTGAATCATATCATTTTTTTTGTATCTCTTCTTTTAATGCAAAGGACGAAGTAAAAAAATATTGTTTGTCAAAAAAATAAAATTGATAATCTTTTTATCCTTAAATGTTATTTAGCTTTTTCATTCTATATTCCTATTCAGAAATAATGAATTGGGTTTTTATAGGCATTTTTGATGCCGCTATTGAAATAGCTTTTCTGGCTATATTTTCGGGTACACCACCCATTTCATAAAGGATTTTACCTGGTTTAACCACAGCTACCCAATACTCGGGGGATCCTTTCCCAGAACCCATACGCGTTTCCGCAGGTCTTACTGTAACTGGTTTGTCTGGAAATATACGTACCCAAATTTTTCCACCACGTCGTACATTTCGTGTCATTGCTCGTCGCCCTGCTTCTATTTGTCTAGATGTGATCCAAGCGGGTTCAAGTGTTTGAAGAGCATATCTGCCAAAACAAATACGATTCCCACGAGAAGATATTCCTTTTAGTCTTCCTCGATGTTGTTTACGAAATCTGGTTCTTTTTGGGTTATAGTTGATGGTTCTAAATTAGAAATTCCATCTCTACTACAGAACTGAACGTGAGAGTTTCTTCTCATCCAGCTCCTCGCGAATAAAAGGAATAAAAAAGCTTGTATTAAGATATAGATGTAGTTAATGATTAATTCTATTAATCATGGTATTAAATTTCATCTGATCTCTTCTAAATTTGTGTATGTCTTTTTCGAAATCGAATCCAAGATGAATTCTATTTATTTAAAAATAACGTAATATCATCATCTCGAATGTCGTTTTTATTAGCGTTAGAATATTCTAACAAATCCTTATTTTCTTTTATCTTTTTAAATTTTTTTTCGTATTTTATTACTTTTATTAAAAAAAAAAAGATTCGCTGGCGAATATTTACTCTTTCAATATCTATATTAAGTTTGATGTTTATCCCAGGAGATCTCTGAATAAAAATAAGACTAGATAATAAAGTTTCTGGTTTATTCCGCCATCCTGTCCAATGAATTACTAAGATTTGTTTTTCAATAGAATCCTCTATATTCATGGGTTCCGTCGTTCCCATCGCTTCTTGATTAATCATTAGGCCCGAATTCTACAATGGAGCTCTTATATGAAATTGGGAATTTCATTTTTTAATTTGTTTTTGAGTCAATTTTCTCAGTTTTTATTGGCTCAAGGCTCTTAATTTTTTTTTTGTTTTCGGAACAGATTTATCTAATTATTATGAATGAATCTGTATTGATGCTGTATTACATTGCTTTTCTTACAGTGACCTCATAGACTTTCCAAATTGGAATAATATATCATTAATATTCAATTTTTTCTTTCTTTCTTTCATCCTTC